GTGCATTAGCTTCAATAGGCGAGTGCCATGCGCCACCCATCAGTGGCGGCTTRGCGCTGCAAGGCTGCTCGTGTAGGTAAAAGTGAACGCTTGCAATAAACTGTTGCTTTTCACGTGCCCGCACACATATACACACACGCACAAATTAGGAATATGACTTGATATTATATAAGTGTGTGCTTGCTGCAGTTGGCGTGGCGCTGTATTAGCAACTGTTGCACKAGTATCGAACATCAAGCAATGGTTGGTCAATGCCAAATTATATAATGTGATTATGCAATAGTAAACATTTTAAGTCAGACTCGGAAACTGTTGTCCAATGAGAGACATATTTGAAGTTTCATAACAAAACAGCTTCAAATGTTGTAATTTTGTTTTGGTATTCTGTATGTGATCTCTTTTTGAATATGTATAAAAATTTCTTGTTTTAAATTTGCGTTTTAGCTATTTTCTGTATTTTGTGGTAGAGAGGATCATTCTGATGACATGTGGTGCCGTATCTGTGGACTAAAAGTCTTTCTTATAACCATTTATGCACTATATTTATTTCGTTTCGACTACATKCAGGTCCAACTGTTTGTATCATACATCTAATCCAATATTTACATATATGCTGTTCCGACAGCTCCTCTCGAATTGTCATGTTATTAGTGCACTGCTGGTGGCTCTATTGGGCCTCTTTGGCTCAAAATAATATGACTACATTGTATCTTGGTTCCTTTGCAAAGTATTCGTAGAAAAACAGTATTCATGTTGGCACAACTCGAATTGGGTCAGTCTATAAAATATAAATCATTGGTCCCTCATTTGTTGCCGCAAGGCCTTTGACGCCTTTCATGAAAGCTATGAGTACCGCAGAAGGTGGAACCACGAACTGTATGAGATCTACGATAATATGAATGCATAGCTTAAGCAATGTCGTTTGCAAGGTRGATGATGTTCTTACGAAAAGCTTATTCGAATCGGGATTCATGGGTGGACAACGAAAGCAAGGGCATCCTCGCATCCAAGGAAGGATGGAGTATATAGAGACCTGTCTGCACTTGGGATGTACAAAAGGCGTGACCACACAAAGGGTAGAAGCTACTGAGAAAGTTTTATGTTTTCGGCCCAGACTATATGCCTTCAGTACTTAGAAAGTATTAAATATTGGTACTGCGGWTGCTATAGTATTAGGCTCTAGATCATTCACTCTTCCGCACTAACAACTAATTTGTCAATTGAGGGATATCCATTAGAGCAGTTCATACTTGCRTTGACGAATGAAAATTTCTATATAAGTACTCGTATATGATAGAACTGTGTAAAGGAATCTCAGTTCTTGAACTATTATCTTCAAACATTTGCATTATTATTGAAGACTTGCGTAAGGAAAACCCTTTCAATTCTCTGGAGGTTATTCTCGACATCCGRCCAATACACATACAAGTGAAGTAKGAGGTAATGCTTACGGCTAGCCAAATCATGGTTTCAGGATATTGGAGCCAGACTCGGCGCCACCAAAATCTAGAGCTAGAGAAGGAGACTCACAGGGAATTAAACAGATCGTTTTCATTCCCTAGCAGAGAATATTGGAGCAATGATTCTGTGATCGACAGTTCCAACGGCTAAATCTATATACTCTTTGATGAAAGGGTTAAACAAGAGCGGTCTCTTTACATTAAGTTGTACCAGTAGATAATAACAGGGCTTTTAGCTGGTAATTCGATTAATATCATCTGGGTACCCGGTCATATAGGAAAAGACAGGTTAGCTGGCTCGAGGGGGAACAACTGGAGATATGATTCCCCTAAGCTGACTCAGGCCATTCGGCTTCCTCAAGGGTTATTTGAAGCAATGGATTATTGAGTAGCATCTCAGTTTTTGGAACACAAGCAACACARCGCAAAGCACAATATTACTTTAGGGTAGTGTTGACCATGTTGACAGACTAAACAGCTCCTACTTCTAGACAAAATGAAGCTTAGTAACATTGTAGATCATCACAGGGCATCTACCCTTAAGATTCCACTTCAGAAAATGGGAAAAGTGGATTCGGCAGAACGCTGGGGGACAGCTGAATACATAATTTCCCTAAGCTGCCCCAGATATTCGGCTTCCTCAGGAGTGATTTAAAGCAATGTATACTTGAGGAACGTCTTAGGTCTTGGAACATAAGCAACATTTTAGAGGTCAACACAGGGCTTGTAGCATCCACTACTCGGAAACGCTAAKTGCGGACGTCTGCGATTCGGCGCCATGTACCTTGCTTTTCAATCAACTAACCACCTATTGCCGATTTGCTCTACAATCATAATCCTGAATTGAAAAATAAAAAAAATTATCCATGAACGTCAGTTTTATTTTTGGTGACAAACATTTTACTTATTATAATTTTTTTTTTAATATTTATTTTATACGAGTACCTTCGACTTTTACTAGCWCATGTTTTGCTGAATCGTTGCTTCCATCCGAGTGGCATTTTCACTTTAATGTTAATTTTGTTGATTAAAAATTATTATTAATTTTTTGTATCTATTTTTTCATTTGAAAACAGTTTTTTTATATAAAAGTTGTAGCGTAAAAATTCACTAAATAATTTTTGCAATTTTTTTCATTTTTTTTTTTTTTTTTTTTAACTGAAAACTACACTACACAAAGAAATTCCCCGCCCCACTAATTTTTTTTTGCATTCAAAAACAGTTTTTTATATAAATTTTGTACCATAAAAATTCACTGAATAATATTTCGAAAAAAAAATATTCCATTTTGTTTTTTAAATTAACCTTAAACATCATTGCACATAGAAAGAAATTTCCCGCGCTACTAAAATAATCCAACACGCGTCGCGCACAACATCATTACAACTGCTTTAGTTGGTTTCGTGAACGCTATCATCGTTCTAACAAGCGAACATGCATATTCATGTGCACTTTACGTATGCACTAACGCGCTGCAAACACCTATTAAATGCACAAACGCATATACAGCAACCATCAGATACACGTATGTGGGCACCGATGTATGCATGTATAATTTTGTATATGTATGCACGTTGCCGTGACGAAAATCAAGTGCTCGAACAGCAACAGCAGCGTTGCTTAGACAATATTGGAGACAATCAACGGCAACAATTTGTGGTTTGTGTGGTCATCGATTCATTCAGAGTATAAGCAAATTTAGTGTCAATATGTTTTGCATGCGGCGTGGGGGTGTGCACTATGTGTGTATAGTGCTTGCTTACGGTAGTCGTTACAAAAACAATTTGCTATAGTTTGTTTACATTTTAAAAAGGTCTTTTGTTGTTCAACGAACAAATGTTACTCATACGCCGTGTGTGTTGATCATATGTTTGTTTATTGACACTAAGCCTTAGACATGCACGATTGACACAAGTCATGACGTTTGCGATACTTAGCATTGCTGCTTTGATGTACTATACATACATATGTATAAATATATATACTCGTATATATGTATAAACAAACAATATGTTATATGTTCTGGTTCCAATGTGTCTAAAATGAAAACAATAGCGTAAGAATTGAAAAATATTGCAAATATTCASGTCGGATTAAGCAAATAAAATTTTTCAAAGCTATACTTTTGGCTACGCTGATTAAAAAATTTTAATTTGCACATATCATATTCATACATATGAATGTATATATGTATACAAATTTGTATGTTTTATAATTTTTAGAAAATCAGAAAAATTATTGATCTTTAGTTATATTATTATTGTTTCGTAATTTTGAAGAAAAAAAAAATAGCATAAAACCGTTGATTTTAATTAACATGGTCAATATCATGCTAACCACTCAAAATGTTTCAAATTACCGATCAGTTAATAGCCACAAAACTACGTCATTCGGTTTGCGTTAGCGGTAACCGAAATTCAGTATAATCTTAATCATATGTATATGCATATATGTACATATATATGGTTGCAAATACTTACATACACAAACAAGTAGCTAGCTGTTTAATAGCAAGGAAAATATATTTGTGTAATTAATTATTTATGTATTTTATTGTTTTTACTCAACGACACGTGTGTTGTTTTGTTCGACCGCCTAAATTGAAGCAGTATTATCTGCATAGACTTTACGACTTTACATAGCCACACAGGAAAAAGTYTAACGGTATGATATCACACAGTCTTGGTGCCCAATCGGTCGGCCGAAAATGTGAAATTATCTGCTTACCGAAGACTTCTCTCAAAAAATCCGTAGATTAACGCGATGTGTGGGAAGTGACGCTGCCTGTGAAACCAAATGTCGCCGAGATCACGAGCTTWAATTTTAGGCATTAAATAATGGGTTGCGGCATTACTTTTGAAAAAAATATGGACCGATGACCCCACCGGTCCATAAACCACACCAACTCGTTTTTTTTTCTGGATAAAAAGACAGCTCTTGAATCTATTCAGATTGAGCCAAAAATAAGCCTCATCGCGTAACACAATTTGGCACGAAAACGTCGAAACTTTTCAAGAGCCCTAAGAGCGAAGCGATGACGTTTCCTTATATGGGTATTTCGTAGAAGTATATAAATATTCTTCTTTTTTTTTTGCTTGACTAAATATTTTACTTCCAATCTATCTGAAGACAAGCAGGAAATTTTGCATACATTGATTGAGCTCTATTGAGACTAATCAATATATTACAAAAAAATATTCTTAAAACTACTTAACGTCTGTCCGGAAGGTCTAAAATGTGRGTTCTTTTTACGTGTCTAACATCCATACTATCCAGTATATTTATTGACAGTAAGTTTTTATGATTAGAAAGTCTATCAAGGTATCGACTAGATTTACAKATTTTGTCTTTAACAAATGGTACATTAAGTTTTGTGGAATTCGAAGTTGGTTATATACCAAAGAACACTGCAATGCTTCTGAAAGTCTTAGATATATTTATTTGGGGGATTTTAATGTTGGATGTACTCGCCGTATCCTATAAYTGCATTGCATACATCCATACTGGTTTAAGGATTKACTTTTAGYGAAAAAAGAAAACTTGTGTACATCTGTATATTTTTTTCWAAAAAAAATTTCAAAGACGCTACAAAATTAATTGTTTTAGTGGTTAGTGTTAGTGTTCCAAATGTAYGCCCTCCTCTCATCAGCAATCCAATTAAAAGGACCTCTGATTATAGGAATGGGTTGCAGTAGCGTAGTCCATGATGAGTAGTCATCATTGAGAATACSAGCACCTCAAGTGAGTTTTAACAGATTCTGTGACCTCACCAACGCTACATCTGTCAGAGGCTGATACCTTTGTGCCTCCAAATGATTAAACCGTTGTTTTGATAATGCGATACAAGTGTACAAGAGATGTTTCATTGTTTCATGGAGCCTTCCTTTTGACATTTCCTAGTCGCCCTGYTTGATATGTCCTGTCATTGCAAGTAATGTAATTCTTAACATGTCACACCTGCATCCCTCTTTAGTAATGCAAAAGCCCATCAGTAGTAATAAGTTGAGACATTCTTAGGTACATCTGAAAAAAAAATTATGAACATATTGAATTATGCTAAGACTCAGCGACAAATAATTTTGTACAAACCCCACATCTTCGATTATATCGGCATTAATGCCAGCAATTCTTTCGAARGCACCTAAAATATGGAAATAGCTTTTGTTTACAAACAAAACCATTTCACATCAGCTGGTTGTCATTTGCTGTCTGAGAACGTAAAAATTGAGAGCGTACGCTCTCTGCAGTTGTTTAAATATGCCTTGCCAAATCTTCAAAAMAAATTCTAGTTGGCAACGCAACTTATAAATGGARAAAATTTTGTAAATTTMATTTTTATTTCATTTGTCTTATTAATTTTGTGAATTGTAACCAAATAGTAGWAAATTTCGACGGAATTAATTTTATTAGTACCAATGTATTTACATATATACGTAATTGCATTTTTTAAAATAATGCAGGCTTGATACAGTGGCGGTTGTAAAAAGTTTACTTCGCAAAATAACAGCCGATTTACGAAACACAAAAAAATATATATTAATAGCTATAGATTCTTAATGTTATATTGAACCAATTGCTGCAACCTAGAGGCAGTAGTTTTATTGAGGATATTTTCCAAAACATTAATGCTCCTATTGCGGTTTTYAACCCGACTTGGTCGAATTGAAATKARGGCAATTCAACTTCAGATCAACCAAACTCTTTTTCTGTATTGCGAAYTTCAACCAGAGAACTTAAAACTCTGCGGCCTCACTATCGATACCTCCTCCAGTRTATCATACCATGAGAACTCCCGATGCTTGCACTAGTCTTGCCATGCGGCACAAGTGCACAGGAGCTGCTTCATTGTGCCTTGCTGTAGACATTTCCTCCAGTCTTCTCCATTTGTCTCTGCGGACGTGCGTCGCCACCAGACAGTAACCAGACAGTAACCAGCTAGTATCCCGGTCATGTCCCTACAGTCTCTTCTATCGAGTGCCAACAGGATTTTTGTGCACTTCCAATCTACCGTTTTGCACATRACTTTTGCAGTAGTAATTTACTAAAGATCCTGTGAAATATTTAGATTAAAATAATTGGAAGTAAGCTCAGCGTTGAAATGTTGAAATTCATAAGAACAAAAAAAGTTGCTACAAACATTGTTGACTGAACGAAGACGTCCAAAAGGGATAGCGAAAATCGAAGCTTGTGTCAAATAATGATTCACTTGAACTTGACCAAGTCAATGCATGGAAAAGGTACTAAAGTAGTAAATTTACACCTTCTAATTAATTAGCAACTGTTGCGCATTTACTTATAATATTATAACACAAACTGGAATTGTTACTTACGCTACACACAAGTATCGATTTATTGAAGCGTAACAAAGCTGTTTGTTTATTATCGATATTAAAAAACATTTATAATTTGTTTTTGCTCTTAGAGCATTTCGATATGTACTAACAATGTTGACTTAAATTCTATAGTATGTGGATTTTTAGTTTTAAAGATCGCTTATTAACAATTTTTCTAAAAACATTAAGGTTAGAATCACTGTGAAGAAGCTCAGCCTTAACATGTAKCTCTTAGGAGTAAGCACCGCTAATTCTACACCTATGACTTACTATGTATTTCTTGAGTACTTTAAATTCAACACCATAAACCACAGTTGAAAATAAATCCACTGAATAGCCAAAAGTCYCACGGAACTAAATCTGACGATTAATCGACGAATGGGGTTTTAATCGAAATTTATCTGAAAAGTCTTACTATTTTTTACCATAGTAGCACTCGAAGCAATTCTTTCAGTTCAACAGAATAAGTCGCTGGGTGACAAATCTATCGAAATTATTCATATAGCTTTAAAGCCTCATTTGATCCTCTAAGGTATTCACTGTAGTTAAGACGATATAGTCCAAACTTTTATATCAAGATATTTCGTTGTTTTTGTATACCCAACTTAAGAATCCTTTGGAATCCAAATCTAATTCTATATTTGTGACTTCATATTGGTTCGTCTTACGTCGGTTCGCGCTGTCTGGGAAACGATCCGAAGCGTTTGCCGTAAAACGATCGAGGACTAAGACAAATCAAACCTACCTTTGACGTATATTAAACATAAAAATTGTTAAGATTATTTTTGCCAAAGACATAAAAAGAAATAAAAAAAATTAATCTTTGGAGTTATATACAATTTATATATAAGTTCAATATTTATTAAATTCACAGCTTAATGGTACAAAGGAATATATCACTATAGCATACTATACTCTACATACGCATGCTCTCTTGTACAGCCCTATAAATGGGCTTAATAATTTATGTAAGCACTATATATATATCAAATCGCCATGGATTTTCACAACCCATATTTCATAAGTATAAATAAAGTTTACAATAATACCAGAATATCCGACAAATTAACACCACATATATGCAATACTTTTGCAGTTYTATAGTTTCGTGTTGATGGTGTCGTTCTTAGACGATTTCTTATCGATCTCGTTCCATTTTTGTATTTCACCCGAACCGAAAACCCAAAATATCAGCGCAGGTATTATATAGACCGCGGCGCCTATCAGGAACACATAGTGCCATTGTTCAATTGTGTTCTAAGGAGACAACGAAATTTATCAATGAAGCTAACTAATAATTTTTACGTTTCCAATGGCAAGCACTTACACTTTCTTTAGTAAAGGCAGCCACAATCATGGGCGAGAAAATACCAGGCGTAGTGCCAATACAGTTAATGATACCGTACAGGGTGCCCGCATAGTTGGGTGCCAGATCTTGTGAGTTCTGCAGATTAGATGCGGTCGCCGCGCCATTGAAACCCAATGAGATTGTCATAATGATGACACAAACGTACGGATCTCTAATAAAATATGCCAGTATGATTAGCATGATGCCGGGCAGAATGTGCGCTAAACGAAAATGGAGGAAGAATATTGATTTTTTCGAACACGGTCAATATTTTTACAAATATCAGTACTTACAAGGTAGACAGAAAGTTTTGCGCATCATTGTCACGCTCAGCCAACTCTTGCGGCGAATGAGATCGGCGATTGCGCCAAAGCCGAAGGCGCACAGTAAACGCGCCAAATGTGGCAAGCTGGAGAGGAAGCCGGCTGAAGACAAGTTGAAGCCGAGCACCTTTKAAAATAGAAAACAAAAAAATTTAAATTTTATCACAAAGTCAATAATAGAAGTATTTGTAGAGCTCACCTCACTRAGGAACTTAGGTGTGGCGGTAATTAGGAAGAACAGACCCCACATGCTGCCATAATGCAAGAGCAGTAATGACCAGAAGGGTAGAGAGACGATGAGGCTCTTGTATGGTGGCCAGCGCTGTGAAATAAATAATTAAATATATTAAATAAATACCCAAAAAGTAGTGACCAAAGCAACGTCAGCAATAAATACAACCAACCTTCTTCGTTGTGATGGTATCGCCCAGACTCTTTTCAATATATTCACGCTCTTGCACGGAAATGGTGCGATGTTGTGCTGGACTATCGGCAACAACGTAGAACCAAATCAATGTCATGATCAATACGAATAGACCAACCATATAGAAAGCCCAATCCCAGCCCATGCTCTCGATAATTACACCACAAATGGGCCAAGTTATCATTGTGCCAAATGTGCCACCCATTAAAGAGGCGACAAATTTGCCTTTCTCATCAGGTGGCGACCACTTGGAGACCAAATCTGCATGAAAATAAACAACGCAGAAGATTATTTATTATTATAATTCGATATTAGCTTCATTTGCGCCATTACTTACTGTGACAGCACGGGTAAATCACGCCCTAAAAATGAAAAAACAAAAAATTGATGATTAAATGTGTTTTAACTTTAAATAATAGTGGAACTTACACTAAAGAAACCAATCAGAAAACGTATCGCGAACACAGCCCATTTATCCCATGCTGCGGCTAGCGGTGTTAGTGCCGTTAGCACGGCGGCGCCCAAACAACTCCAGCCAGCTACCGGCTTGCCACCGAAATTCTCGGCCAACATACCCGCCGGCAGTGAGGTAATCATATAGCCATAGAAGTAAGCGCCTAGTAAATTGGCTTGATCTGTTTGACTCCAGTTGTAGCGTGGMCCGTACTAAGTATTTAAGCTGAGTTAGATTTTTTTAAGTTGTKATTTTTCGTAACACTTACATTTGGCAGCGGTTCGGTGGCATTGGGGTCCGTGTGCTCGACCATAGCTATGATATTAATACTTAGATTGACACGCACCATATAGCTCAYAAGGCATGCCACGAATAACATTACCGCTATGTTGAAGCGTTTTGGAATGTTAACTGAAAGTGTTCAAAAATGGAAAGTAGAATATTAAGTATTTTGTTTTGAAAAAGTTGAAGATAATTTTAGTTTTACATTATTATTATTTTTTTTTTCCATATATTGCGTAGTCGAAAAAGTTTTTTCGWATTTTSTCAATAGATGGCATTGGAGTCGTATATCTTCAGTGCTACCAATCACATTGTATCATATAATATAATTTTGGAAAGGTGAGATCTTAAGCTTCATTTACCAAAAACAGGTYAAATTCGGGGAAGTTGAAAAAAGTTAYATCTGTTCAAAAATGAGTGAAAATAATGAAGAAATTTATTAAAAAGAGAAAAATGCCGTACCAGCCTCCATTGAAATTTTTAAAGTTTACGTAKGTGATCCCATATCAGTTCGTGTAGCACAACAATGGTTTGYTTGCTYCCGTTCTGGAAATTTCGATGTGAAAGATGMATCTCGCTCMRGTCGACCTATCGTTGAAAAGCTATGGAAAATAACGAGCAGGATCGTCACATAAGCAGCCATGAACTCGTTAAAGAACTTAACATTCATTATCAAATGGATTTGAATCATTTAAAAAAGGCTGGCTACAAAWATAATCTCAATKTTTGAGTACCACATGAATTGCCTGTGAAAAATTTAATGGACCGAAATGAACATCTGTGATTCTTTGCTGAAACGAAATGAAATCGAAACATTTCTGAAGCGAATGGTAACAGGAGACGAAAACTGGATCAAATACGACAATAATGTGCGAAAAAGATCATGGTCCAAACATGGTGAAGCCAAACAAATGGTCTCAAAGCTAAGATTGACGCCTCGAAAGGTGTTGTAGAGTTTTTGCTGAGATTGAAAAGGAATCATCCACCAAGAGCTACTCCAACTTTGTCGAACGATTGATTCCACATTTTGCTGCCAAGAACTGATGAGATTGAAGCAAGCAATCGAAAAGCGATCAGAACTGATCAAMAGAAAGGGCTTCATCTTCCATCAGCACAACGCTAGACAACACACATCTTTGATGACTAGGCAAAAAGTGGGAGAGCTTGGCTAGGAAGTTTTGATGCATCCACCATACAGCCCTGACTTTGCACTTTCAGACTACCATTTGTTTCGGTCAATGCAGAATTCCCTTAATGAAAATTACTTATAGCACTTTTTGGCCAAGAGACCAGAAAATTTTACAAGGATAACATAATGTCTCTAGCGAAAAAATGGCAAAAAGGGATGGACCAAAATGGCACATATTTCAGTTCATTCAAGCTCATTATAAATATAAGAAAAAAAAACAAGTAAGGAAGGGCTAAGTTCGGGTGTCACCGAACATTTTATACTCTCGCATGATAAAGTGATAATCGAGATTTCATTATCCGTCATTTACATATTTTTTTATTTTGCTGTAAATTAATTAGATTAGATCAATTTGTGTACTTTGAGTATTGAATTGTATTTTCATTWATTTTAATTGCATTGAAAAGGTATAGTCCGATCACGACAATTTTTCCACAAGGGATACCTCAGCTCAAATACCGTATTTGTGTAAAGTTTTATTCCGCTATCATCATTGGTTCCTAATGTATATATTATACAGAGAAGGCATCAGATGGAATTCAAAATAGCGTTATATTGGAAGAAGGCGTCATCAGGGTGTTAAGAAAATATTACATACCGAATTTTATTGAAATCGGTGGRRTAGTTCCTGAGATATGGTTTTTGGTCCATAAGTGGGCGACGCCACACCCATTTTCAATTTTTAAACAAAGCCTGGGTGCAGCTTCTTTCTGATATCCCTTCCGTAAAATTTAGTGTTTCTGACGTTTTTTGTTAGTCGGTTAACGCAGTTTTAGTGATTTTCAACATAACCTTTGTATGGGTGGTGGGCGTGGTTATTATCCGAATTCTTCCATTTTTGAGCTGTATATGAAAATGCCTGAAGGAAACGACTCTATAGAGTTTGGTTGACATAGCTGTAGCAGTTTCCGAGATATGTACAAAAAACTTAGTAGGGGGCGGGGCCACACCCACTTTTCCAAAAAATTACGGACAAATATGCCCCTCCCTAATGCGATCCTTTGTGCAAAATTTCACTTTAATATCTTTATTTATGGCTTAGTTATGACACTTTAGAGGCTTTCGGTTTTCGCCATTTTGTGGGCGTGGCAGTGGGCCGATTTTGCCCATCTTCGAATTTAACCTTCTTATGAAGCCAAGAAATACGAGTACCAAGTTTCATCATGATATCTCAATTTTTACTCAAGTTACAGCTTGCACGGACGGACGGACAGACGGACGGACGGACAGACGGACAGACGGACGGACGGACAGACAGACTTCCGGATTTCAACTCTAATCGTCACCCTGATCATTTTGGTATATATAACCCTATATCTGACTCTTTTAGTTTTAGGACTTACAAACAACCGTTATGTGAACAAAACTATAATACTCTCTTTAGCAACWTTGTTGCGAGAGTATAATAAGTTGAAGTTTGGTAAGAAATACGAAAAGACTTTTTCGACTACCTATATATTTTTTTTCTTAATATTAATAAAAGTAGCTATAATACCTTCAATCCATCATATTTTTGATTAGAAGAACTGAATTAGATTTTAGCCTAGTTACTAAATCATATTKCGGTGTAAAATCGTACAAAGTTTATAAACAAAATTTGACGGTTGTATATTTATGAAATTAATTTTTGACTTGTTTTGAAAACTCAAAACTCTCAAAAGTKTTGTAATTATTAAGGTTATGCTTGTCAAAAGTACATGCGAGTTCTAAAATGATGCAAGAACACATTTTGTCATATCCTTTCCATCAACAGTTCAAATCGGTATCTAGTTTTTCTCCTTATAGTGCACAGTTTTAGTATTTCACTGTCATTTGTCATTACCAGTCGTATAAATATTATAGACTAACTACAAAAGTCATTAGTTAATCTCACTAACGCTTTGACATTGATACGGCGTTAGAACTAAAAATTGTCACGTTGCAAAATTTACATAATTAACTTGGAAATTTGATAACGTTGCTGGCACATGCAATGCGTATTTGTTAAGTTGGGCGGAAATTTTAAAGGCCCTATTGCAATGCATTTTTTATATATTTTTTCTAGCTACAAAGCCTGTCACGCGAACTATTTCTTTTTTATTATTGCTGAAATTAGTTTATTATGACAAATAGTTTTCATTCAAATTTTAAGCTACAATTAACAGTACTAGCACATAATGTTATTTGTATCAGGTTTATTGTATTATAAAATGTGCCACTGTGCTTTGAGCTAGAAAATTTAGCATTTGCTATAAACCTTTATAATGATAATGAGTGCACTAAAATTATAGCATTTTTGATGTGATTACCGCCTGTGCTTACTGACCATATTAATCTTTTAAGTCTTACCTATACAAAATATTATATACATATATAAAAATTATCTAATTTCTCATCCTCTATATGAATGCATTCTCGGTTTACTGGAATTATGTGCTAATATAGTATATCCGTATCAACAAAATATTCTATATTCTTCCTATATCTGCCAATATTTATACCCTTAACCTTAATACCCAGATGGAAACGTCGGAGACCCTATAAAGTATATACATGCATATGTATATAAGGAACCAGCGTGATGAGCTGTGTAGATTTAGCCATGTCCGTTTTCATATACACGAACTTCTCAATCAATTGATTTTTCAAATTTGCAAAACGTTTTTTTATCCCCAAAAGGCGGCTTATTTGTTGGAACCGCCGATATCAGACGACTTTAGGATATAGCTGCCATACCAACTAACCGATCAAAATTAAATGCTGACACAGATTATTGTACAAGACTATATATATTACAATTTCTGAACATATTGTTCAGATGGGATCACTATACCATATGTCTGTCAGATAAACTGACTGATCAAAATTAATTTTTTTATGGAGAACTTTTTTATTTGTCAATATATCTTTTACAAATTTGGTATGAATTATTATCGAGTGAAATGTTGCAATCTTAAAACATATTGTACAGATCGGACCATTGTAGCATATAGCTGTCGTACAAACTGACCGGTCAAAAATAAGATAAAACCTTTTTATACCTTTTTAAGCTATACGCATGCGCATGTGAAGTGTATTATACCTTCGGTGCATCCGATGTTAACATATTTCTTTGCTAGTATTCACATTTGTAATATTATATCCGTAGCATTGATTTTCCCGCTTCTAACAAAGCTCAGACTAAGTTAATTTCTAAGTCAGTGAAGCGCGAAAAATAACTTAGAAAAAAAAATTGTATAGCAAAAAAATAATCATAATTTGTCTTATAATTAGTGAATCTATATCAAATTATATCTACATATATACAGGGTCTACCAACAAGCATGACGTAATGCTAAAATGAAAAAAAAAAACACTTTGTTTTGGTCAAAATGGGTTCTGTTTTTATACTCTTACAATCAGTTGCACAGAGTACCGTTAACTTTTTGTTGAAATCCCATATCTGGGCATTCGGATACCAGATTTCGACAATATTTAGTAGCATTCTTTTTACATTTTCATGACACATTGTGAAAATGGACGAAATCGGACAATGTCGGATATATATAACTAAAATAAAGGGATAGTCCTTCTCTTATCATAGTAAGTCTTCCGTTAGCCCCCATATACTTTTACCGTTTACGCCAATTTCGATGACCCAGGGCAACTTTTCGGCTGGAATTTCGATCATAACTCTAACTGAACACACTGACAAAATTCGCCTCAAACCCGTACACAGTTGCACAGAGCACCGTTAACTTTTTGTTGAAATCCCATATCTGGGCATTCGGATACCAGATTTCGACAATATTTAGTAGCATTCTTTTTACATTTTCATGACACATTGTGAAAATGGACGAAATCGGACAATGTCGGATATATATAACTAAAATAAAGGGATAGTCCTTCTCTTATCATAGTAAGTCTTCCGTTAGCCCCCATATACTTTTACCGTTTACGCCAATTTCGATGACCCAGGGCA